TATTGATGGAGGATGTAAAAGGCACTTAAACGTTAATGATGATGATTTATCCCCCATAGAGCTGGACCTTCTCCCCTTTTTTGTGACGTTCCTGATGAGTTTCTGGGAGGTGCAGTACGGCATCGTAGGAGGTATAGCTGTGTCTGGAGCCCTGCTGCTCTACAGTATGGCCAGACCCCAGATAGAGGTGCGTTATCTTTTTATGTCTGTGTGCAAGCAGTGTATGAAACTAGTCATGTGAAGTGAGTTTGTTTGACTCAATATCACAGGTAAAGGGTTAAAGGGGTTTACAAGCATAAAACAGGAGAAAAAAACAATTAAGAAGGTCACAAATATTAAGTCATAAAATGGTCTTAAAAGTCATAAAATACTAATCCGTAAAGTACTAAAAATGTAAAAAAAATACATGAAAAGAGAAAGAGGGGAGGGAGAGATGAAGGACACAAACTTGGTATTAAAATGAGAAGAAGATATGATCTTGATGAAGAGGATAATGATTAAGGATGATTTGACCGTGAAAATGTCTTAAAAGCAGTACATAAGATTTTTTTTTTTTTTTGTTAGTATTTGCCTGGGTTAAACATTTGCTTTTTGTAGGCACGTGAATCAAAGCTGGATCCATCCTTATCCACCCAGAGAAAAGTCATCATAGAGTTAAATTGTGATGTTTTGCTGCTTCTTCCTGTCACACCAGTGTGTGATGACTGGCCCAGCTTCCAGCAGCTAAACTCTCTCAGACTGCATCTTATATCAGGACCAAACTAGAACCCAGATGCAGGAGACGCTGTGTTGTTTCATAGTGGGGTATTCACCATTTCAGTTTATTTTAGAGCCAGTGGTGGGAAAAAGTGTAAATACAAAATGCAGAATGTCCGACCGTCTGTTCATGACCTCTGCTGAAGCGCACTTGGGTTCTGCAGCAGGACAAAAGACACCAGCGAGTCCACCTCTGAGAGGCTTAAGAAAAACTAAATGAAGAACTGGAACTGGAATGTCAACAGAACTTTGAGACTTTCTATGAACTTCTTAAATCTTGCCCTGCCAATACTTAATAATGAATAAGCTAAAAATAAAAGTAGTAAAAACTAAAACTAAACATTTTTCATAACTTTGATGAGGACACGTTTGAAATATGTGGTATCAAACAAGACTAATGCTGTAATATTGCATTTCTGCGTTGCAGGTGACTGATCAAGGCGTGTTGGTGATGGAGTTGAGCAGTGGCCTCACTTTTCCTGCCACCGAGTATCTCAGCCACATCATACACACTCGGGCTCTGCAGGGTAAGGAAATGCTTGATAGTCTGTGTGGGCACATTTCAGTGTTTCCTGCTGTTTACTTGCTCGTCTTTCCCCAGTGTCTCCACCACGGTCTGTGGTGCTGGACTGCTCTCACGTCAGCGTCATCGATTACACAGTGATCAGTGAGCTCAGGGACCTGCTGAGGCAGTTCAAACTCAGAGAAGTGCATCTGATCTTTGCCGGATTGCAGGTAGACCCTTCAGTCCTTAAAAACCTTTAATCCTTACTGAATGAGTTCATACTCATCATCTTTTGCTTTCCCCTTCCTGTGTCTTCCTCCCTCTATCAGCCCTCTATTCTGAAGGTTCTCCTAGCAGCTGATCTGGAGGGCCTCAGGCACAATCACAGCGTGGACGAGGCACTGCAGATGGAGTCGAGGAACCTTCTTGATGACTAACACAAAAACTATCCAGTTACAGCCTGGAGAGATGCCCCTAATCTGGAATTATAAGGCTTTTAAGACCTCAAAAAATCTATAAACTACCTCCAGCGAGTAATTTCTCTGCAGTTTGCAGCGACTGCCACTGACCAAGTGAAGAAATAAGGAAATCTGTTAGGTTTACAAACACTGTCCACTGCACAACAACTTTGGAGCACAAGTTTAATATAATGTCTGTAAATGTAAATAATTTCTACTCATTAAATAGTTATTAGATAATAAAGG